TGCTACATCCACCATTACATGCATGGGTGTCAGCAATCCACAACAACAGATCATACTTGACATCCCTTCTGCACTATCATGCTAAAACATAAAATAACTAAATTCACGGTTCGCGTGAGACTCGGCTGGAAGTCGAGTTTTCCGCATCCGCAGGAATGCCACCACCCTCTAGGATCAAGACGCAGACGCAGCTCCTAAGCGGTGGGTGGTGAGTAGATCAGACCCGCCACAAAGTGGTCAAAGACCAAAGTCCCATTAGCTGCAGCCATGATCCACGCACAATCATGCTAGGGCACTGCATAATAACACAGTGGACCAACGCGATGATGACACTGTTTATACTCAGGAGGTTCAGACACAGACATAGTGCATCCCTCACACAACATGTGCGATACGACAGTGCTGCTCAATGAAATCTGAGCAGTACGCACGCGGTACACAGCAGTGTGCCAGTGACAGCAGGTACAGTACTGGTAACTGAAATCCAACCCCTTAGCGATGCGTTCACATTCTAGCGGTCTCTGTTTCGTAGTTTTACTATCCCGTGTTGGGTCTTTGCCATGTGAGCGCACCGCTCAGGGGGTCGGATTTCAGTTACCAGCACTGTAGTAACGTTACATTGTACTTACATGCTGGATAGCCTCTTTCTCCAGGGTACTGGCATCTTTCATGGCCCTCTCGTTGAGTTCAGCCGCACCTCTCACCGGGGTCATCTGCCCAGACATGACAGCGGGCGACATCGGACGCATGCCTCCTGCACTGTGACACAGCGCAGCTTCCAGGCGACCTTTGAGCACGCACACATTCGAGCATGCACACATGTGGTACACCCGCGCACGCACGCACACATACACACACACACACACAATATTTATAATTATACGCACACACCACACACAGACCTATGCATCACAGCCTGAAAAGATCAGAATTATGCGAAAAATTCCAAAGCACACACACGCAACCAGTATGGCTGTGTGTGTGTGTGGGGGGGGGGGGGGAGAAGTGCAGATATCACAATTGCAAACTCTCTTACCTTCCCGTTCAGCATGGTGATAAGACGAAACACTGAACTGCTCCAGGTTGTAGATTATGCTGTCCAATAAACTCAGGTCACGGAATATTGCACGGAACTTTGCGTCGAAATTCACCAGCTTATTCAGCAGAATCATGATGGCCAACACAGTGGGAATTCTGCAGAATTAAAGGTAACACGCGGAAACGAGCAGGTTTAGGTCGAGTTTATTCTCTGTGATGACGAGGACGGGCAACAGTCTGACGTGTGTGTGTGTGTGTGTGTGCATGTATGCATACGTGTGTGCATACGTGTGTGCATGTACAAGTGCAAGTTCCGTGAATAAGCCCCGGGTGTATACAGAACAGGGTCTGAAAAGTGGGTATTCGAATTTATATCCTGCATAAGTACGGTAGTGTCTTGTATTAACCCCAGTCTCGTATAGAAACCTGTTTTGAATACAAGCCTGATTTTTCAAGTTACACTGTCGGCACATAAGCCTGGTTTTACATTTAAAAAAACACCTGGCTCGAATAGAAGCCTGATGTGAATAGAAGCCTTGCACTGACATCGGCTTCTACAGGAATAAGTATGTGACATAACGGTATGCTAGTATCACTTCACATCACCATGATTGCTGTTAGGATTGACAGATTGCATTTCGTGTGCTGACTACCCACTATTATAATAATAGATATCGCACTATAAAAACAATATTAAACAATGTGAAGCTAGCTAGATTCACGGCCGCATCACCGGACGCGTTGAGGAACACACCAAGCAAAGACGTACGTAATACCACCCATGAATTGCTGTATGTACTACAGTTGCGCTCTGTGAAATCCAACCCAGAGTGCAAAACTGGCGCATTTCTGATTACAGCATTGTATTTGTACTGTGTACGTCCAGCTGCATTCGTACCACTTCCAGGGCGTCAAGGGCTGTGAAGCTGAGGGCGCTAAACCTTCACTTTGGGTCGGATTTCCCCGAGCCTAACTGTAGTATATATAGCATTCAACCAATACCGGTGTCTGTTGGGAGTTTGGAAACATGTGTTCTTACCTTGCTACCTTCAGTGTAATACTCATACTGACGAGTGATGGACACGGGATGTAGTTCAGAGAGCAGACAACATACTCGACCAGCTTCAACACTAGTTCCTGAGCAGACACACCAGGACATATGGACACATATACGCACACACGGACACACACACACACACACACACGCGTGCGCACACATGCACGTACATACACACGTACATACACACGTACACACACACACACACACACACAGCGTTAAGGGCTACACAGCTGTCCTGCAGTAGAACGTTCCACCATGTGCAGCATTTCCTGGTGTTCACAATGTGCAGTGGAGCGCAGCAACTTCCTTTATTGCCAACATCGGAACAACTGAAGGTGCATACCGGTAGTTCACCATGGCACCACAAATTTCACATGTTCACACCACAGAACACACTCAATACTAAAACAGTACATCCATAGTACATCCATAGTACATTATTAGATAAACCTTGAATTGTAGAAGCACGCTTTTAGTTGGACAGCCTATTACAAGGCGGTGGAACACCGTATTCGGAAACAGTGTCCCTTGCTATAACCATCCACAGTTGGCAGAGCCCCAGTCTTACAACCATGTGACATCCATAGTGCATGTACAGCCCTGCTCAATGAAATCCAGTCGCGTCACTCAAGCACCATTTCGCAGCCCAGTGTTCGCAGGTCCAGAGCTGCGCGGCGCCCGGCGTGCACGAGAGTCAGGGGACTGGATTTCATTGAGCAGCACTGTAGAGCCCTCGCATACTACCGTGCATGCACACGCCATACTTTGCAAGCACAGTCATGTACCACAGCGTCGCACAGCTGCTAACCAGACGTCACATGGCCATGAGCTGGTCTGCAAAGCTACCGACCAGCACACAGTACTGTCGGGTGCGGAAGAACAACCAGGCTAGAATTTCACCAAGCACAGCATACCAACTGGCGGGCATTGGTTGTGAGACTTACCACCTCACCCTCGCCGTTAGGCGCTGCATCTGACACCCTGGTATCACAGGCATGGTGGTGGCCTGGCACATGCGAAACTTCCTAAGCTGGTTGTGTTTCTCAACGCAATTGTATAGCCGGTGGTAACGCGGGCGTGCAAACTTTTTTTACAGCATACCAATGTATACACGCTGACTTAACTGTGCATAGACTGTATTACATGAAAATAAGAACAGTCTAGGCTACCAGGCTGACCCCCTCCCCAGTTCTTCGGCGATCGACAGTATTGTAGGCTAACACAGGGGAAACAAGACATCAAATGGGACGGCGGCCCCAAAGAAAAACGTATGATGTTCTAACCTGGACAGGTATGGTCTTCTCGTGCATCTTTTCCACAAAGCAAGATAGCGTCTGCTGATGTTCCAGGATGAAGAAGTTAGCCGGGTCAATGCTGAAAATGTTGAAGATAATCTCTACGATGCGCAGGCATAGCGACTCCGTGCGTGCCTGGGGAAACCAGGCAGACACAGATGCAGATATAGACAACCACACACACACACACACACACAAATAAGCAAAGAGAAATGTGTGTGAGAGAGACACACACAAACACACCGCATATGGGTGCACGCACGCACACACCATACACACACGCACGCACACACATGCACGCACGCACAAGAAAATGCACAAAAAAAGCTCCAAACAGATGAGCCGTGTACAGCAAGACGACGGAAAAAACAGCATTTGCTCTTCTACTTTTCGCAGCAAAGAACGCCAGAAATAACACCGAAGAAAAGAGTTCTTGCAGGTGAGAGCAATGCTTGAAACAGCTGTATAAGACCTGGCCCAGTACCTTCATGAAGGATGCCTGTAAGACTTGGAAGGCCAGGATATTCCGTACACTGTCTGTACGAGCACAAACCACAGCAGAAAAGAACATACAATGGAGAGAGAGAGAGTGGGGGGGGGGACGATTATCAGGAAACCAGCCCAGCCCGGCTCCACTCAACATGCGCATATGCACAATGTGCACAGCCACTCAAAATATCTCACGCCCACACAACCTACTAATCCACATCCACAGCCCCCTCCCCCCCCCCCCCCCCCCCCCCCCCACACACACACACACACACAAAACCAACTAATCCACATTCACAGCCCACACCCACCCACCCACACCCACTTGCACGCACACAACCCATTAACGTATGCACACGCACACACCAGGAGTAGTACATAACGTAAAAACTGTGCAACGTGTGCACTATGCAGTACTGTCAAGACAGAACTTCAAGCTGACATCGCTTTTCCCAAATGTCCATGTTGACGTCACTGTTACGACACTGTGCTTCTTGTGAGCACTTCTAATGTTTGCACAAAGATGTCAACATATCACACAGGTCTGCTTGCATTGGTCTCTACAGGATCAAATCATAGAATACTGAGAATAACCACCACGCAAGCATGTGCACACACACACACACACACACGCACACACGTGCACACACGCCGCCACCACCCCGCCCCCCCCCCCCCCCCCACACACACACACATCCTTGCACCCACCCAGTCTCGCTTACCAGTTCCGCTAGGCGTCGGCAAGACAAAATCCCTGGCCTGGAAAGGCGAGGCATCCATCTTGGGCGGTTGCAGCTCCACAAAGCCAGTCTTGGTGAGGTTTGACACCAGTAACACCATGTTACGCATCGCTGCTGGCGCATCCTTGCTCTGAGAGGTCTCCATGCGCAGAAGAAAATCAGACAGGAACCGATAGCCTTGGCCGACGCGGAAGTCGTCCAGCAGTATGTACGACGTCTCGCTGGCGTCCTTGATAAAACACGACAGTGTCACCATCATCTCGATCAGCTCCAGCGGACTGACGCCCTCCATCATGCTCTTGTTCATGTTGTGTATGCACAGCGACATGCAGTTACGCCGATGCACGTAGTTCACAATGGCTGGGCTCAGAGAGCAGCGCGCCATGCAGATCAGCACGTCCGACGACAGCTTTCTCCACGGCCGACAGTGCGGTGGGCAGTAGGTGGTCACGATGCCGAACAGCCGGCACAGGTCGTCCTGGTCGACGATGTCCTCGGCCGCCGCCCTCGCCTGGCAGCACGCGACCAGCGCCTTGGTGAACTCGCCGTGCAGCGTGACGCGCCGCTTGTGCAGCACGGCCAGCTGCTCCAGCGTGCCGGGGTCCAGGCGAGGCTGTGTGGCGCTCGGCGAGTCGCTGAACACGTTCAACAGACGATGCTGCCGACGGCTTGCCGACTCCGATGATGATGCGCCACCCTCTGCAGCACTGGCACCGCCGGTTGCCTCGTCAGAGGGCAGCGCCGGCAGCGGTGGCAAATCAAAGAACAGATACAGGCACTTGGTCAGCGTGGACGGCAGGCCGGAGCGGGCCAGGGACAGCAGCACGTCACTAGCCATGGACTCGGCAAGCAGACGTACGGTTTGCAGCATGTTCCAGCCGTCGTTCGGCTCGCGCACACCCGTACCGCCGACCAGCGCTTGTGTTGGATTAGTGTCCTGGCTGTGGTCCTCCAGGTACGAGGCTATCACCTGGCACGCTTCCTTTGCACTCAAATTGATCGCTCTGTGCTGAATTTCTGTTACAAGAACTCGAGACACTTCTCCAGCGAAATCCTTGGCTTCTGGCAGTCGCATACTAAGCTCGTTGGCTCTATCAGAGAACACCTTGCAGAACAGCGGTATCATCTTCTTCAACTGCGAGTCCTTCTCGGCCTGAGACAATTTCTTGTAATCACTCAGCAAATGTTTCAGATGCCATATTCCTAGCTCTGTGCCTTGCGGCAGCTCGCCAGGTGACTCTTGGCGTGGCTGTGCATCTTGCTTTGGCTTGCCCACCAGGTCGCGCACCCAGCGCAGCGCAGACATTTCCAATGCCTGCCCAGCTCAGCACACGAAATAGCCAAAAGATGTCAATTGAAGTGAACGAAGAATATTGACGTTTTCAAAACTCATCTCATTTTGCAGAGCTGAATTGCATTGTGAAGGCAGCGACGAGGATCGCCGGTAGCATTCACTAAGATTTTTCCAGCCGACTCGGCCACTTGCTCGCAACCCTTCTCACCGTCACAGAGCAAGAACGAATTGGGTGCAATCATCCATCCATTGAAAACTTTTTGCTTGTTTTGATGTGAAGATCAATCAAACTGATTTGAGTTGCTTTTCTCTGTACACTTCTTTGGTCTTTGACCTCATGCTCAGTGAGTTCTGCAGCAGCAGAGTGCAAGCACTGAACCCTTGCGCTTGCATGCAAAGCCTTGCATATTATTGCTGATTCTGTGATACTAGTGTCACATGATCAAGCTTTCTTTTTTCTTTCTCTTCCCTTACGTCACGTTCAGAAAAGTCGGTATCTTACTACTTCCAGGTCACAAATCACACGCGGTCGTCTGTGAGGGTTGACGAACCACGGATGATCCAAGCTGCAAGTGCAAGCCAAGGCGGAAGCTCAGTACAGCGGTTTGCCTGCTTTTGATCTTGCATGTTGGACAACCTGACAACTGTGATGAAGTAATTTGCAGCAAAAGTCCAGTTCAAGACGACAAGAGACTACTAGTATGCTTCCTCATCAGGAGGGCACGCCGAAGGGCTTTTGTCCAAGCCTGAGAGTGTTTCGTGGTGTTCGAAGTCCCTCCCGTGTCGTCCTCGCATGCATTTAGTTGCAGCCGAGCACATCGCATTCCAACCGGCACAATCAAACAACCCCGGTGAGCTGGAACTGATTGCCGCTGTTGGTTGCTGATTTTGGCGGCTGAAATTCAATTCGACGGTAAGGAGAATTTCTTGAGGGCACTTATGATTGTTGGATTGGGGCAATGCCAAGAGGACCGAAACAGGAAAATGAACTGTGAACTAAAATGCATTGCAGACAAAATTACGTGCCATACCTTTTTCCTGTCCGAAAGAAGTCACCTGATGTCTTGCACTACATGCTCACTGCATGTGCCCGGTGCGTTCTGATCTTGCAGTCTACAAGTACAAAACAATGTCTGTGTAGCTTGTACATACTACATAATACTCATAGTACGAATTCACCAATTGACGGTATGGCAATACAGTGTACATGTACACAGTTGGCTCACTGCTAAACTTGGACGAGTCACACTTTCTTACTACGTCTTTCATAGAACTTGAGTACTGAAAGTCTGAAGTACACACAGTGGCATGAGCCTCGCGGAGTAATTATTGTCTGCGTGTTGGGGTGGGGGTGCATCACATACGGCAGAACCTCTCCTATCCGGGCACTGAAGTATGCCGGCATCTCAGAATTGCCCGTAACTCGGAAATGCACAAGCACAATAGACATGACACGCCTTTCTCTTCAGTTGTCTAGCCCAGATTGCCATCCTACAAGTGCACAGTATGGTATATAATATAAAGAAGCCTTGCTTGGTAGTTTAACATGTTTTTCGATTTTGACAGCATGTTACGAGGCGAGGCTGCCAACCGGTTTATGGTTGTAGTCAGGAGCACTATGCGTCCTCGCCTTGTAACATGCTGTCAAAATCGAGTGCACAGTAGTAAGAGCTGAGCCCGTGTAACCTGTTGTGCTCCATAATGCAGTGAGGCTGTTGACCACATACATGTGCATGACATTGACAAAGTATCTGGAGTCCTTGCTGCAAATAGTGCTCAACACCTCAAAATGGGCAGAGCGTACTGCACAAAGGCAGAACAACACATGACATTGTGCATTGTTCTCTTTATTTACGGAAGAAGAGCCCGGCCCGGTTGTGCCCTGGCACCCCTACAGTACTGCCGGGTAGCGCCGAAGAACGACCAGGCTAGAATTTCACCAAGCACAGCATACCACTGTACATTGTATACACGGTGACTCAACTGCGCACAGACTCAGTCACTGTAATAGATGAAAATAAGAACGCCCTAGGCTAGGAGGCTGACCCTCCACCACCACCACCAGTTCGTCGGCGACCGACAGTACTGTAGATCAGTTTTCTGGAGAGAAATGGCTGGGCGAGGTTGGACTAAAGGAACACAACACCATTACACGTCCATCACACCACACCTTGTCGTTGGTAAAAACTCGCGAAAAAAAACAAGCAAATTTTAATCGCATCCACAATCTCATAGTTTTCTGCGTTGCTCAGTTCGAGTGTTCAGTATGCCCCATTGGATGATTTCCTATCACTCACCCCAAGCTCTACTTGAAATTAAGAGAAATAGCCATAGACAGCCGACTCTCAGATGGTTTTCTTGTGAATTATGGTGCCCTGAGAAAAAGAAGTGCTCAGCGGAAGAGAATCACGTGCGCGTGGGCTTGTGCATGAGGCGAGGCACACCCTCTTCACGGGAATTATCAGTGCCGTATCCTCTCCCTGGTCTGTACAATCTCCTCCCCCCCCCCCCCCCTGCAGGCGGCATTTATCGTTCTCATTGAGTACTGTAAAACCGGAAAGTTTAACGACCAAAACTTTCGCGTTTTTGTAATTTTGGCGTGATGACGTACGTGCGGAAAGTTTAACAATGGCTACCTGGCCACCCATCTGTATGCGCATCTTTACACACAGACATCTCAAACCGAGTTCGCGATAACGTTTCTTCAAACAACGGAAAAAAATTGGTCGGTAAAACGTAAGACTTTGTGACTCGTTAGACTTTCCGGTTTTAAAGTTGTCGTGCTCACAGCGCGAGCGGTCAAAGTTCACATGAAAGGTTCAGAACTGTTCCCAAATATGGATGGGCACTGGATGCCACTACTCCTTATATGTACGTAGGCGTGATCTATGTATACCTAGATCGTGACCTGTGGACCTGCTTGGGATGTATATACGGCTCTAATGTACAGGTTCTGTGCAGTGCAGTGACCTAGCCAAAGCGATTCTGCCGGCTGGGAGGGCGACCTGCCGGCTGAGACAGCTCCAAAGGTTATTTTGGCCGGCAGCCCATATCCTAGGCGTAGGTATGTACAGTACGTAGCTCAAATGCACTTGAGTACGTCAGTAAAATATAACAGGTCGGGTCATGGTTCGCTGCTTCCGGTGGTGTACAGGGCTGTGACACTGACAGCTACAGACTCTGGACTGTCATATCGTGGGCCATTGGTGGCTAGGCTGGGTCTTGTCAGATGACCAATGTACACTGCAGACATGACGTTGGTGAACACATGATCCATGCTCATGTAGCCGTTTGCTTCCTTTTTCATATTTTGTTAATTTACCTATAACCACATTGTCACAACTGCCTGATGAATGTCCATAATTGGACGAAGCGAAAGGAGATGCAAGCTGCAATGAAAGATTTGTAGTGGTGTGTGTGTGTGTCTGTGTGGATATGTGACTGATGGCGGGGGTCTGGGGGCTGCGCCCCCAGAACGATGCATTTTCACTAGAACATTGGCCGGCTGGCATAAAATCCTGGCTAGACCTCTGCAGTGCATCACATCATTGATGTCCATTTAAGGTTATGTCGTTCCCTATGGCAAGTGTCGGATTTCGCTTGCCACAACTGTGCATGTGAATTCCTCACGTGGCCGCAGCAATGCATGCTGGGTAAATTAGTACACGGCTCGACACATCAACAGTTAACACATGCGAATCTAGAAAGGGCTCATGAAGTACCCTACTTCCGCGCACAAAATGGCTTGTGCTTGTTTGCAAAAGGTCGCTTTTTGGAGGCAGGAAAGGTTATTTTTGCTCACACGTAGGCACGTTTTAGGAGCTGCATCTGTGCCTTGATCCAAGAGGGTGGTGGCGCTCCTGCGGATGCGGAAAGCTCGGCTTCCAGCCGAGTCTCACGCGAACCGTGAATTTTTTTAAGCACGTGCATAATTATGGTATGGGTGTGCTGTAAACTGATCCTCAACATGCATAGGGTCCTATATGGGTGCAGAGGGGCGCGGTGACTTTACAGCTCATGCACAGTCGGTATTGCTTCAACCTGCCCTAAGGGCGTGTTCAGACTATCGATAAAACGTGACGGAATGGGAAAGTTTCCGGGGTGATTTGATCACGTGACGTTACTGGCATTCTACCGCGTACCGGCGGAAAAGTTTTACTACCGAGGCTACTGCGGTAGAAACAGCATTCCGGCAGTAAAAAAGGTACTCCGGCTGGAAGTAGGGGAAAATCCCTTCTCGGTGCCGCTGTGAGAGCTGAACAGGTAACGTTAGTTTGTAACGGTATCGGTAGTGCGAACGTCCTTCATGGTTTGACACAGTTCTCGGTAGTCTGAACGCGCCCTAACCAGACGCCCTTGGTGCACTGGAAACTGTCATCTGGTAGGATTCCACTTGATCCAGGGATGCACGTTCGATCCACAGCACTTCGGCGCATGAAATTTTGTCCGGTCAATATACGGGATTCGGCTTGGTATCGGATCCCGCATACACAACGTGTACTGTGCATGGAGCTAGGAATGGCCTGGCCTTACTCTCAGTCTCTGATTCCAGTCACCAACCCTCAGCTCCACCCTGTTGTTCGGCGCCTGCCGGTACTGCCCTGTACGGTTGAAAATCTCGCGTCTCCGTGGTTATGACGGGCATGTCAGGCCGGCACGGTCAGCCTCTATGCTCAGGGGCGTTGCCATGCCTTCCTATGTGTCATGTTCTGTCTGGCGGAGCCACTTGCCTAGCACATTGACACGGTATCTGTTTTGTATTTCTGCCTGTCCTTGCTTTGCGCGTGTGTAGTGCCAGGAGAGGAGACGCATCTGCGACAGCTTCGATATCTCTACTTACGGACACAGCGCACAATCGTCACGCCACGTTCACCTGGAGCGTCGTTCACCACCCGTCGCTCTGGACGTTGCACTCAACTCTCACCCCGGCGCGCTCTCAATTCGTTGACTTTGCAACCTGCAGTGTATTGTCATAACGAAAATACCTCGGACCAAGGTGGTCATTCTAGACGCGCCGACCGGGTAGTAATATAACAACTACCTGCTCCGGTTGCTTGCGAAGAAGCCGTGGTATTCGTTGCAGCCATGGGTGGCTGTATGTCATCTCAGGGACGCGAGAGCCCCGACCTGGATCCAGCGGGCAGGGTTGTGCCCGCTGATGCGTCCAGCGCCTCGTGCAGCACAAATGCCAGCAACACTCGTAAGTATGCTGCTGTTGCGTGTAGTGTTCTGTACCTGTGGGTCTGGTGCTGTGTTAGTGACTAGCTTCTTACAGAAAATCAACACATTTTCGTCAGCGCCTGCCAATTTCCCAAATATTTCCTACAGAATTACTTGACTTATAACATCTCTCTTTGTACCTCTCTCTCTCTCTCCCTCCCTCTCTGTCTCTCTCTGTGTACCTCTCTCTCTCTCTCTCTCTCTCTCTCTCTCTCTCTCTCTCTCTCTCTCTCTCTCTCTCTCTCTCTCTCTCTCTGTACCTCTCTCTCGCTCTCTCTCTCTCTCTCTCTCTCTCTCTCTCTTCTCCTGCTTACCCTTATCATCGTCCTTTGGCATAGCTTCAGGATTACTGAAGTAAATCTCTAATGTGCCTGTGCTTGTACCTGTGTCTGTGCTGCTCTGTAGCTACTAAATCAGTCTTCCCACCAAACGGTGACGTTCCCGTCGACAATCGTCCCAAGCTACAGCAGCAGCCGAGACGGAAAAGCTTGGATGCACCGGCGCCGGTGATTCCGTCACGTGATGAGCTAATGGAGGCCAAGCGTAAGGGTGTGGAGCTCTCTGCATCGCAAACCGAGTTCTTCCGCATGCTGGATGAGAAAGTGGAGGTGAGTTATGGCGTGATGCTTTTCCACACTTGTTACTTGAGCTTACTTCTGATTGTTCCAAGTGTCCTGGGCAATCATCTTGAACCCACTGAAAATATGCCAAGTTACCGATATTCGAATGAAAATTTAATGTGCATTCGCTTGTATCTGCCAATCGGTCGCTGATTTTACGGTCAAACTAGCGTTTGAAAAGTACAGTTCCGCTCGGTGAAATATGACCCAGAGTGCAAAACTGACGCCCTGGACCAGTTCACATTACAACACTGTATCGCATTTGTAAATGTGTACGTCCAGCCGCATTCTTAAGTTACCACTTCCAGGGTGTCAATGGCCGTGCAAGGTGAGGGCGTCAAATATGCACTTGCGGTCGGATTTCACCGAGCACAACTGTATTCCCATGACAAAGCGACGAAAATCCACTTGAAACCTTCTTGTTTCACGCAGTGTGAAGCAGGCTAACGCTAGACACCCTCTTCAGTACCTTCTGCTTATTTTTCGTGTACTCCCTGATCAAGCCCCAAGGCGAAAATTTGGACATTTTGGAGATGCATGTGCTAACGATCAAAATTGCATTGCACCTCTGATGCGTTAGTCTTGGTGGGGGGGGGGGGGGGGAGGGTGGTGGAGCTGCTGCTGGTGACTTTTTAAAGATGCTATAACAGTAGCACATCGGAAAAGAAACTCATGAAAGCCTGGCCATTAGCTGGGCATAGATAGCTAGCACCATAGCGTCTGCGAGTGTGACAGTGCACTAGCTGTTCACTCAGCTTTCATCAGCAGGACTGGTCATATCGCAGTACATGTACGTATGGTTCAAGACCACTTGTCACACACACACACATACCTTTGACGCCCCATCTCCAGCGGAGATGATAGGCTACTGAGTTGGGCAGTACTTGAGGTGACGCTTCAAATCACCACTTCTCCTAAACGCTCTGCCGCATGCGCAGTGAAAGTCCTTCAGTGCCGGGAGAGGAAGACGATGCCTGCGCCATTCTGGGCGATCTTGTGCGAGCTGGTACCACTCGGACTCCGGAATATCCAGTGAGCGCAGATCACCGACAATTGTACACACACCTTGACCTTGACCTTGACAAACAGCTGCCGTTAAACGGCTAAGCTGCCCTCATGAGAAGGGGAACAAAGGGGTAGCATCACGGCGTCGCGGCAGAACATCCGGCCTCATGCCACTGCAGATCCTGCTGTCTGCGATATCTCTCGCCGCACGCACAGCAGAACTTGAACTCAAGACGCTCCCTCGCTGTTGGTCGCTTGCCACGCTCGCAATTGTGCCGTTTAAATCCAGCAGCAGATCGAAAGCACCGGTTACATGACGGGCAGTGGAATGGGCAACAATGTTGGTGTTGAAGCACTAGGCGAGGTGCAGGATCGACAGAGTCCGAAGGCTGTTGGGAGGAACCTGCGAGAGGGCACTTATGTACATTCAGCCCACCAGCACTCTTGAACCATCTACCACAACGCTGACACGACTTTGCACCAGGCTGTTGGCTGACAGGAAGTTGGCGGGCCGCACTGCACTTATGCCGCTTGTACCCAGACGCACTAAGATGGCGGTCGCAAGCACTGCAGTGCGCAGTTGGCTTAGATGGTGGTGGTGGAGGCACAACATCAACGACACACGATCTCCACAAAGGTCGATCCTGGGCTGTTGCAAACCATGGTGTATCCAAGGAGCGTAGGTCGTGATGAACACGGTCCTTGAGCCGAAGGCGTGGACCTTGTGCCGGACGAGCCTTGCCAAGCCATCCAAGCAACAACTGCTTAGGTTGCCTGGTATCCGGCATACGTGCAATATGTCCAAGCCACTCCATGCGCCGCTTGCGGATGCCGGTGGATAACAATTCTGGCTTTCCCCATCATCGCCTCAACTCTTCATTGGTCACCGAATCTGACTGTTGATCTCGCCGAGACACACCCAAGATGATACACACACACACACACACACACACACACACACACACACACACACACACTCACACCAAAATGATAGGGAGATCCTGGAAAGTTTCTTTTCCGAGTGAAATTGTTATATGTTGTTGTTGTAAAGAGAACAGACGCGTTATGACTAACAGTCCACCAAAGTAACGAGATAAGTATACAGTCAGATACTTTGATACTATTGGCTCAACATCCGAGTGATTTGGTTGTTTGTTGTCTGGTGTTGTTGTTGGTGTTAGGCGGGAGGACCGGGTCTTTTAGACGAGAATGACTCAGCACTAGTCGTATCCCCAATCGGCCTATCACATTCCGCCGTGGTAGCAGAAGGTATTGACCAGTGCAACAGCGGGCATGGTTTGATCACGACATGAATTGAAGACAGTGTCCACCAGCACTGTGCACCTACTCAGGACACCTGATGATGCCTGATAATCAACGTGTGTGAATGACGGCCACACTCGCCATAATGTCATTGTGAGTTGGATGACCTGGCCAATGAGGTCATTGTGAGTTGAATCACCTGGCCAATGAGGTCATTGTGAGTTGGATCACCTGGCTAATGATGTCATTGCCAATAGCCATGATGTCATCAAGAAACATCCGTCCCTCGTGTTCATTTGCCAGGAGTTCATGCATAGTGCATGCCCACCCATGAACATCTCCTGCTCTTTGCAGCGCTCCAACTGAGTGTGGCATCTTTTTGAATTAAATAATTATCCTTTCAATGTGTATTGCCTAACCTCCTCTTTCAGCTGGCTGGATCAGTTCTGAACTTCTTACTCTCGCAGTGTCCAACATGGGCCCCCGTCCCACCGTCTCTCACGATGTCAGACCTGCTTTTTCGACACTTTCCTCTTCTGCACCGAGCACGCTTCGCATACCCCCTCCCCTCCGTGTGATGCGGCGCGCCTCTGCACACATGCATCCCATATGTTTTATTTATGCTCGTTTTATCCATGCACGTCCGAATCTCCACCATGACGCGGAACACAGTGCGCGCGACGGTAGTCCGCCTGAGATCTTGTGTGGAGGCATAGCGTTACGCCCACCCCTGCATCATGCTGCTTGAAATACGCTTCCCGGCGGCTGCCTTGATGCTTGAGCTTCGACCTGCACTCCCGGCTAAACTGAGATATCCGTTGTATAAAGTGAGTGCAAAGACATGCTGCGGACGCAGTATGCTATAGTGCAGCGTACATTGATATGCAGCGGCGGCTCTTTGGCAAATTAATTTTCTAGCCGTCCACTCGCACATAGACTGGCCATGGTGCCGTCTGACATATTTTTTTATCGGAGAACCAGGGTATTTACCTATTCGGCCAAATTTTACTCAATTATTTGTTATATATAATCCTGGCAACTAACATTTTCTGTGTCTTCTTTCTCTCGCTGGGTTCCGTGGATTGCTTTGCTTGCTGCCGTTTCTTGGAGACTGCGGCGAGTTACACCCGTCTTACTTTAAAACTGCTTACATCTCCTGTGTTTTTGGAGCCACATTTTCACAGGCCAGGGCAAGGAGGACGCTCAATCAGAATAGGAGGGCATTTCTCCCCCTGCCCTCTGTTGCACCCCCTACCCTCCTTTGGCTAGAACCCTGAATGTGTTGTCGCAGGTTGTGTCTTTATCCCAGCTTCGTGTTGTGCAATGCTAGGGGGTATACCGGTGCATACATAAACATGCGTGATCAAGAGGACAAAAGTTACATCTAGAGTGCATGTATAACCAAATTTATGTACCCTTGGTTACATGCATGTGCTCTTGATGTGACTGGCTAGAAGCTGTCTCAACAAGGCGATGAACCTCCCAGTGGCTTGTGTGTCACTGTGGCAAACAGGAAGTTTTAAGACAGAAGAGGAACTGACCTGCTTACGGCGCGGCATCCCACACATGTCCCGTCTACGCTACTAATGATTGGGAGTACAGTAAACTTGCCCAGATCCGGGCAGGCTGGGACCGAGCACCGCCCATAACTAGGAAAGTAGGAATTGCCTGCGGAACACGCGCACTGAATGCTAGCAAACACATTTTGTGCCAATCAATAGTTTTCGGGGCCTTTTTTCGTTGAAATCACGGTCAATTTTGTGACTGTAGTGTAGATGGGTGGGAAAGGTGCCCGGTATACGGATGTGGCCGGATTTTTTTTTTTTTTGTCGTTATATCCGCAGTCGTTATTAGCGAAGTTGACTGTAGTTTGAGGCTGCGTTTACACGACAACGCTGGGGGCGAAAACGCAACGAAATCCTTTCGGATCCATGGTTCATTTACAGTCGATGCGCCAAGCCAGCTGAGTAAGAAAAAGAAAAAGGAAAAAAGGCCCAACCCTGCCCGGCCAGCTATTTGGACTTACGGGGGTCGCCATGGCAAATAATAAGTACTTCGAAGTAGTAAAAATGAGCTAGTGTGGCTGTGAAAACAGTCTATATGACAATATTCAGTCAGCCATAATGGATGCCTCCGCAGCGACCACAGCTGCAGATGACGCGACAGGAGCATGGGCAGAAAACATGGATCGGCTACCACGCACACACATTACACTGGCCCGTATTAGCGCTACGCTAAGACGACACCGGATGAACGCCATGGTGAGGGAGTAGGACTCACCGGTCTTCTCTGCAAGCAACACAGCAATTCTCTTGTACAGAGCTGACGCACACTTGCTCATGCCGCCAGTCGTAGAGAACACGGCCGGGACAAACGAGGCATGCTCTACATCACGCAAGCGCTGTTCGTACGAACGCTTCTTTGCCTTCTCATGGCGGGTGTAGGCTGCGGAGACGGAGGAGGAGCGATTTGAGGGCGCAAATGGATGTGGCCGGATTAGGGACGTCCGGATCTGGGGTATTTTTACTGTAGTATTGTGCTTGCTTGAGAATGGGTTTATTCTAGGGCTGAAACGATCGTGGATTTTCACCTATCGATTACTCTTTAGCTTAACGATCGATTAATCCATTATAATCGCTAGCAAACAGTGCCAGAATTTTGTGCAGAAATTACTCTGTTTCCACAAGCTATGTCTTCATAATACCAAAAAATCTGCATTTGTGAAAGGGTAACTCCAAAACATGGCAGTGTTGAAGCAAGAGGGGGGGGGGGGTATGTACTCTTGGTTGAAGTCATTTGAACCTCACAACGTTAACAAGAGTACATAACCCCCCTGGGTTATGTACTCTTGACGTTAACTATTCCCCTGGCAACTGCATACTCACAGGGGAAACTGATTCAAACTTCACAAAAGCAGGGTTTTCAGTACTTTTTGGACTCAAAATCCCTAACGAGTAATCTACAACGTAACGATTAGATGAATTATCGATCGATTACCGAGTAATTGGTATAATCATTTCAGCCCTAGTTTATTCACAGCACCAAACGCGTGAAACCATAAAGTAAGAACCAAAGCAAAAAGACAACAAATTCGGAAATAAATAAATACAACAACAACAACAACAACAACAACAACAACAACACCAACACACACCCATTGCAAGATATACAAGTCTGCTGATCGGTAAACCCTGAAACTCAGAGTTACAGCAGAAACGCTTTCAGGCGCGTAGCACCGCCGTTGGAGGTGGTGCAGTCGGAGGGGGTCTGGGAGTGTCCCACGGGAAATTTTTGAAATTAGGTTGCGAAAAAGTGGTCCGGCCAAAGCCGGACCAGCTGCTACGCCCCTGGCTTTGATTCCTTCTTTCAAGTGTGTGGACAAGACTTGAAGTAACATATATTATAGAACACTCAATGGAAGTGTAAGATTGAACACAAAAGCTTGACAAAAAAACCATTATCTAAATGGCCTACTGGCATGCAACGGCGAAGGCACGCCTCTGCCAAAGTCAACACAGCCGGCGGCAATACTGTAAATTCACAATTTTTCGGTACTTCGGTGCATCTGCTTCATACCGAAACTTTCAATACACCGAACAAACGCTAACACACATGCCGTAAGGGAACTGCTTCCCTGTACCGAAAATTTCTGTTCACCTAACCTGGCCTTTTGCCCTCGTACCGAAAATATTGAGCATCTAAAATTTCTGAAATTAGTATATGCTGAAAAGGTGCTCCAGCCCCCAGTGGCATTTCCCTGATTGATTATCGGTACTGCACGTCTAGTATTTAGCTTCTGCATGGTCTGGATACGTCAGGTAAAGTCAAGAGTACACAACCCCGGGGTTACAAACTCTTGATAACGTGAATTTTACTTTATTTTAGTCACAACTAGTGATAAGTAATTAGTTGAATACCGTTATTTTTACTACCCCCTGGTCACAACTCCCTACAATGTCGAGTTGGTGATGATCAACGCAATATATCGCTTATAATTATGTTAGCTGCTAAAGAGGTTGTGCGATTACAGCATTACGGTAGTTGCTGCCATCCCTATGTGCATCTCTGTGCGTTTTCTGCCGGTGTGTGCACCATGATGGTTTGTGACTATTTTGTAAAAAAAGAAAAAAAAAGTTGAGATGCTTTGACTTGAAGTCGTGGCACAGCGACTCACTGCACCCTGTTTGCATAGCGCCCAGAAGCGGTTCCGCTGTATCTGCCGACTCATCACCATGATGCTCCTTTCGCATAATCCTCAAAATTTATCGCTACATGGATACGGAGTACTATAATCATGTAGAATGTAGGCTGCTTGCTATGCAAGCCCTGCATACGCACGCAAACTGCAAGAAACATAGCGAGTTTCACGGCAATTTTCTTCATGTAAAACACCCGAGAAAGGCTTTGAACTTTTGTTCATCCTCAACTACACAAAAATTATAGGCACCAAGGAGTTGTAAAATTATACCATTATGTATTTTACGATTCCCTGCCTACATTGCATGGTACTTGGTTGGTACAGTATAATAGACGCCTTGCTTGATAGTTTAACATGTTACAAGGCGATGACGCACGCAAGACCGGGACTCTGTCAACAATCGGGTTACGGTTGTAGTCAGGAGCACTGTGCATCCTCGCCTTGTAACCATGGTTACATGCTCTGTCAAATCGAAAACATGATAGGTACATGTATGATGTACATGTAGTCCTTGAAGCTCAAGTACACGCATAGAGCTACACGTGGCTGGGTACATTATCAGAGAGTCATGCAGTATGCATCCAGCTAGCAGTATGCAAGTATTAGAGCTCTCTGTCTCTCTCACACTCACACACACCATTTGACGCCCATCGCCGGAGGCGATGATAGCACACACACACACACACACACACACACACACACACACAACCACCACCACCACAGCCAAGCCCACTGGATCCGTGTAGCAGTGAAAAAATCCCACCGGATATCAATATTTTCAATTCAGCTGGCTTGCCGCCAGTGACGCTGTGGCGCTAAAACAATTATAATAAACACAGCAATACGCCTATGCCTGGCCAGCCAGCAGCCTGCAAGCAGCGTGGTGATTGATTGAAAGTTGCTTTGGTGTTGACAGCATAGCACTAGCGTTTCCGCGCTCGCTAACGTGCGCGTGTGAGCGAGCACATGCCAGGTTGCCGTACACCTGCACTTGACTGCACCGACCGCAAGGCAGCCTGGCTTGGTAGCTGTTAGTACAGTGCTGCATGCCCGCATCCGAAACTCAAGAAACTGCCGACTGGGGTTTAAGCAAAAAGAGGGCCGAGCCCCCGCACACGCACTAGCAGTACAACTGTACCGGTGTTCACTCAGCGACCACACAGACTTGAGCTGCGCGCAGCGAAGCAAGAGAGCCGCCCCCGCACACTAAAACTTAAAAACTGTACTGTATTCACTCAGCCACTACACCGACCTGAGCTGCACGCAGCGTGCGCTGGTTGAGCGTGTAACCAACACGAGCAACGGCCGCAATCGCACCTGCCTTCTTTCCCTCGGCCGCCGCAGCCGGGATCTGGTAGATGGCCTCGTGCAAGTTGGGGTCGAACGTCTCGCCGAGTGGGGACGTGCGTACGAGCCCGTTGCTCGTGAACACCTTCTGCAGCTGTGTCTGCGTCATCGCTAGTCCTTCGTGCATGGCTAGGATCTCCGGTGCGCTGCTGGGCTTGGCGGGCGACGAGTCGATGGCCTTCTCCAGAATGTCGGCCACCTCCAGCAGGTCCTTGGCAAACTTCTGAATGCCAAACAGGCGTGAGTCACCCACCTGCTTCTCGGCACGCTTGCGCACGTTTTCCGTCTCCGCCAAGCAGCGCTTTAACTGATTCTACAATGGGCAACACACACGCACACACACACACGTACGCACACACACAGGAAAACAGAGACGGAGCGTAAGGATTGTTGTACTAGTAGCTTGTACATGGAGAACATAAACTTGTTCTTCTGTCCTTCTACATCAATACGGAATGCGGCTCAACAAAATAATGAAAGACTGGACTTATCAATCACACAATTCCTGTCTCTCTTCTGGCTGAATTAGTGGTGTTTAAAGTGCGGCTTATACTCAGGCAAACACGCTAATTTACGAATTGGAGAAAAGCCTTGCCTATACGGACGTATACCGGTCCCAAGAGGCAAGAAGCCCACAACAGCGTGCAGCTCTGGATACTCTTGTTATGGGATCTGACGGCGGCGAAAACTCACATCACGTGGTGTAGTGTTCATGTTGTACGTACCCAGCCGGTTTTAGTGAGCAGTGGAGTAGTAAAAATAGCACTCCCTGACAGAAATCCACTCATATTGTGCGAGTCAACAGTATACCCATGGCAGGTACATGTATATGTGTACATGTATATGTGTCCGGACTGTGCACACGCTGGTCTACGTGATGTCAGTTTTCGCCATCAGAGACACCATAACTATGCAGAGCTGCATACTCCTGCCCGTAGATCTACTAGCTCTGGAACACGAAAGTACACGTACAATGAAACTTCATGGATGAAAAGAAAGGACAACATGTTACGAGTTATGACCAACTGTCCACTTTCTTTTTATCCATGATTACTTTGGCTCAACATCCGAATGACGCTTCAGGACTGTAAAACCAGGAATTTTCCGTATTTCCCAAAATCAACAGTTCGGTAGCGCGAATATTTCGGTAAACCAGTTTTCCGTACTGCAGTCGGCATGCTTGTACATACCGTAATAACGCACATAAAAGCACATGCGCTTATAAGTGAATTTTGGCTACAAATCCAATTTTCAAAAATGAAATACTTTCACCTAAACGCACATGCGCGATCAGAGTTCGTTTGCCAGAGTCTTTGTGTGTTGACTAGGCCTTATAGTGTCAGTTTCATGGTTCCTGTATGCTGTTTGCAGACCTTTATCCATGATTGTGTCAAAGTGATCATTTTGGTAGTGCTTCGCCTATAAGAGCATGCGCTTATAAGTGAGAGTGCGCTTATATCCAAATACAGGCGCATGCGCCTATATGTGCGTTACTACGGTATATTTTTGGTGCGTTTTATTTTAGGTAAAAATTACCTGTACCTAAGTTACCGAAATTTTCTGGTTTTACACTCTAACGCACCGCTGTGTACTGTATAAATCCGTACACACATGTACCGTAAAGTACCGTTGATCCGCCCCCACGCCATGTCGCTTCCCAGCTGGGTTTTCGGCAGGGGGCGGGAATTAGATCAAGGCTGTCAAGTGCAGTACGATGTACAACAACTTGGAGGATCAAACTCGATGTGCTGGATTGTGCACATTTTCATCCTGGATTGGCACAAATTGTGTACAGCAGTGCATGCGTCCTGTTCAACATCGTATTACGTTGTATACGCCAAAGTCGCTTCACAGGTAGAAAATCGACCAGGGGCAGGAATTAGAGAGGAGGCGGATCAACGGTGCTTTACGGTACTCTGTATCCGAGGTCAAAGGAAACGACTGGAAAAGATGTGACGTGACTCAGAAAGAGCACGTTCTATCCAGTGCAACGAGAAAAGCACATGTGTGCTATGTTCAGGGTACGCTGTACTGAAGTTTCTCTGTATTTAGAAGTCCAGGCGCATGTGCACCCCCTAAAAAATTTCGATCTTGGCTCAACATGCACATAATAACCATGTAAATGACATGTACCCGCCATCCTACACATAATTATGTGGTCGTATACCCCCATAAAAATGGAGCCAGCTACGCCCAATTTAGTCTATGCTAAGCAGCCAGGGGGATACTCAGATAGGGACGTCCGAATCACGGGAACGCACGATTGCAAATCGCACAAAACAGGAAGAATTGAAAAAAAATCATTAGGCCAAACTAAAGAAGGTGTGTGGTTCGACTAACATGGACATTTTTTTTACGGGCGGGCGGGCGGATTTTTGTTTTTTTAATATTATTTTTAGTACATGTAAATACACTGTATACGCGTATCGAGTAGACTCTACTACCAGCACAAGGCAGCAGTCGTACCACTCACTGCACAGCACTGCAGTACAACTACAAGTCAAGTCCAAAAGGAGCCGCCTGCGTCCGCAGACTCACGCCGCACAGCACGTAGACGTGGACGTGTTCAGTCCACGTACGTCAGTCACACGACAGCCCGCCGAAAAAAAGTTACGGTCGGGCTGAAATTGTACGGTCGGTCGGGTGAGTCGAACCACACACCTTCTTTAGTTTGGCCTTACCTGAACTTCTTTGAAGGATTTTTCTGCTTTCTCCAACTCCGCAGTGTACTTCTCTTCCATTGCTTTCAACTGGGCATTACTATCTCCTTCACCAGCCTGAGGCTGCTCACTGGCAGCCTGGTCGGTAGGGATTTGGCTTGTGTTAGCACTTCGCCCGAACAGTGTGCGAGGAACATGGTACGAGGGCTGGCCTTGCAGGACAGACTGCCTGAACGACGCACCGGATACGCGTTGTGAGACACAACGCAGCATCATGAAATAAGGAACGAGGCACCAACTCCTTGGGGAAATGGGGAGCCAAGCTGAAGGGAACCAACAAAGAAAAACAACCTCTTCGTGACCTTTCTAATTTTTTTACCTCTCTCATTCAAAATCAAGGTCCATCGATATCGATATCGCGATGGTCATGGCACGTTGCGCAATGCCTGCACGTACACGCACGCCGTTCCGGCGTTCGTTGACGCTCGACCGAGTTTTACATAATCGCCATGTTGAAGTCGGATTCCTACTGGTTTGAACCAGGGAGTCGTAAAATACGACTCCCTGGTTTGAACGTATTCTAACTCTGCCCAAGCAGAAAATTTCGTCGGTCAATAATTTCGTCCAACTCCAAAGAAAGGGAGTTCGTCTGGTTGTAAATTTCGTCCATGGATCATAAGAGTGTATTGAAAAGCTGGACAAATCAATATTAGTCCGGCATTTAATTTAGTCCAACAGCTCGTTGGACGAAAAAGACGAAATTAAATTCCAGACGAATATTTCTGCTTGTGCAGTGACACTGTAATTTGAGAAATAATATGCATGCAGGGCCTGTTACCCCAAACCGATTTTGTAAACCGCTGATTCCGTGCTGTTGCGCGCGAGCTACGTAGTCTTGACGTCATCGCTACACAATCAAAACAAGTCAACAAACAAGTCGTATTGTTACGACACTGCAGATTACACATGACTGTGTCACACTCACAGTACTGTACATACTAGCAAGAGTGCATAACCCCGGGGTTATGTACTCTTGATACTGGTACATGTATACAGTATACAGTCAGTGTAGTGTCGTAGTGAGTAGTGTGTGAACAAGAACTGAACTCTGAGTGAGTGAACTATTTTATGAACGCAGAGAAGACAAGGTTTTGAAGAGAATGCGGTGTCTGTCTGTTTGCTGCTCATTTTCTTAGAGGAAGATGCCCTGCTAGTGCTAGCTGGACTGGTTGACATTTCTGGAAACTAAGTGTCCTATGTCCATGTGTGGCATTCTGCCGTGCCGCACTTCGTTTATTATTCAAAATTATAGTAGTAGTGTGCATACGACGTGTAGCAGTTCCTTCGTAGAAAAACAGTCACCACACTCTACAGCTTGATCATCGATTTCTGGGCTTTCGTCCTGGCAGTCCTCTTCAGGAGGAAGTGTGTGCGTTGTTTGGTTTTGGAGAGAATTATGCTGCTGTAACAGAAGACATGTTTATGTCGCAAGCCCGTTCCCGTTCTTTCAAGCCTTGTCAGGGGACCCCGGAGGTGAGTTCTTATTTTGTGTGTGTTTCAAATAATTCCTTGTGTGAAAGCTTGGCCGGTACGATGCTACCGGTAGTGCTTGTCGTGAAGTATTGTCTGTTGAGCACTATTCGGCTCTGGGGTTTTTTTTGTCCTCGATTTCCTGATGTACCTGTATGTGCTGTTCCATGTAACGTAAACACATGGCCGACAAGAGTAGTGGAGTCTTCTTCACGTGTGCCAATGCAATGATGTACGATTTTCTCTTTCTTTGGGAGAGCTTTCGCGTAGCTATTGTACGATAATCGCAACCCTACTCTACCTGAATAATTATTGCCCATGTTTTGTGGGGAGGAAATGTTCCTTCCTCGATCCAAAGTAAGGCTCCTACAGCGTCGAACTCTTTGCCTTTCCCCTTATATAACCCAAGTTAGTAACTATGTCCAATGCGCCGAAAGGTTACTCTCGAATCACAAGGACATTGTCATTGTGTGAGCGTATCGTTGTCAAAAAAAGTGTCTCATCTTTCCCGAAACCCGTCAACGAACACGTGTGATATGCCCCGGTGATGAGTAGAGTCGTCTGTTCCCTGATCCCTTTGTTGTTCTGCGCAAGCCGTTTGATCTCGTTGCTGTCACAGCTCTACTTCTTCCTGTAGTCAGTACGCTCTACATGTAGCTAGCTGGCGATAAGAAAACCATCACTCTGCGTACTCAAGAGCGAATCGTGAATCCTTGAGTCGGTTCCGTTGTTCCTCTGCTTCGCGTTTTTTTCCGTTTTATTAGCTTGTCTTCATGTTTGCCTCCCCGAGCCTGCTGCTCAGTTTCAGAAGCAGAATTACTTGTCCTCCACTCCTCCACTCCCAGGGCAAATTTGTTATTCTCTGTTCTTGTATTGTATTGTACACTAGCTATTTCCCGTAGTAGCCGTACCTACCTGTTTGGTTTGGTTTTGAACCACGATAGCTGTAGTTTTGTCAGCGTCTTCACCGACCGAGTCGAATCTGGCTAAGATTTTGGTAATTTTGTTCTCGCTCGAAAATTAGGTTGCCTTTTCTATTAATTTTATAGCAAGGTCAATCCAGGGTGTGATTTCTGTACTTGAACTAATTGAAAGTTCAGTGTCCGCTAGTGTATATTAGTATGTACTCGGGGCTTGTGTATTTGTGCAGCTGATGACTGCAGTCCAGAATGGTCTCTCATCGAACCTAATCTTTCTGGGTTCCGTTGAGTGTCAAAAATGGGCAGTGCTGAGAGTCCTCTTGAGATTCTTGCCATAGTTTGATAAAGTCGTCAGGCTGTGGAACGTGGCAGCTTATTGTTGTGGAGAGGAACGTGTCAAATACTAGGAAGGTTTTGATGGCATGTCTGCAGAACTGGTAATACATGTATCAGGCAGTGGTAGAAACGCAGGGCACAGTCCTGTGTTCAGAATGTTTGGATACAACCCTTGTAATGCCATGATGCAGTTCGTGTTTGTCCGTATTCTTCCCTATTGTCGAAGTCACATTATTGTACAGCTCGTGTTTGTCAGTACTGTTCTGTATTCTCATGAGTATTCGTTGTCAGCATTACGATCCCCCAGTGGCAGCTGGCACGTTTGTGCGAGATGGAGGGCGGGCAGGGCAGACGTGACTGTCTTATATGCGCGTGTGTGTTTCCTGATGGCTGGCAGTTATTGCGTGTGCGTGTGTCTCCCCCCGCCTCTCGGACCTGTGTGTGTAATGCCCCGCAGCATGCTAAGGTATACTTTGGTGTGTCCGGTCACATACAATGTACGAGTACAATGACACAGTCCAACCCGTCTGTTCTTCAGGAAAGTTGCTCCGCCACGAATAACAGATGTGTGTGTCTGTGCGTGTGTGTGTGTGTGTGTGTCTCTCTCTCTCTCTCTCTCTCTCTCTCTCTCTCTCTCTCTCTCTCTCTCTCTCTCTCTCTTTCTTTCTCTCCCCCTCTCTCTCCCCCTCTCTCTCTCCCTCTCTCTCTCTCTCTCTCTCTCTCTCTCTCTCCCCCTCTCTCTCTCTCCCTCTCCCTCTCTCTCTCTCTCTCTCTCTCTCTCTCTCTCTCTCTCTCTCTCTCTCTCTCTCTCTCTCTCTCTCTCTCTCTCTCTCTCTCTCTCTCTCTCTCTCTCTCTCTCTCTCTCTCTCTCTCTCTCTCTCTCTCTCTCTCTCTCTCTTCCTCTCTCTTCCTCTCCCTCACTCACCTACCCAATTCCACTTGTGGAAACAGCAGCTATACATATTATGAAGATCTTTTGTGAATAGCATTTGTCTCATTCGTGGCTCTTAACCGACATGATCAATAGAGCAGTATGGTATTGCACTGCTCGAACTTAGTAGAACTACTGTAATATACAAGGCCATCAGCACAACAGCTGTAGAGGGAGCAGCAGCAGCAGCACCAATGGCTGCAATACAGTGCAGTATTCACTGACAGAGTGGATGCTGAATTAAATTATACAATGAAGATCATTACTGTTTTCATTGATGGTCTTGTTGGAAAGAGATGTCAACGTTGAGTATTGAATCAGGTCATTGGCTATCTTGCTATGTACGGTCTGGGGGAGCTTGAGAAAGGCTGCTTGCCTTTTTGTATGGAAGAGAGACAAAGTCAATCCTGTCCTCCACATGGGCATGACTTACTTTCGCACATGTGTACGTCTTCGCTGCTCTGGAAGATTTGTTTAGCTCAAGCCCCGGTGGTTCACGGCGTTTAGAATCGTGTGATGTGTCATTGAAGCGACAGTACTGCGCAATGAAATCCAGTCGCGTCACTCAAGTACGCACCGGACGTTGCCCAGCCCCGGACCTGCGAACACTGGGCTGCGGAATGGTGCAAGGCACAGACTTGACTCACACGCCCGGTTTGTATTGAACAGCACTGTACATGTGCTACTGTCGTGGACATGGAAATCCGGTCGATTGACCGGGGCCGGCGCCCTCAGCACGTACAGAACGTTAGTCGTTACGTACATGTAACTCGTTGCATGCGGTGCACAATCATGTTGATCCGACGTGACCAGCGCGCTGCATGCATGTGTGTACTGCTTACCTACGGCTGCATGGCCAGCGCCTTGGGGCTGCTAGACGTGCGACCGGATTTCCATGTCCACGACAGTAGCATGCTGTTTGGTGTTCTCAATAGTGTGTTGGTGTTGTGACCAATGTACCATGCATGTTGTATGTTCAGTGTTGTACAGCTCTGCTGCTGTAGCCGCACTTATGACTTGAAACCCACCCTTCCTGCATATGTGTTTGTGCGTTTAGCATTCTTGTTCAGTTTTGATTCTGCGGAAGTCAGTCCTCGTTGTTATCCTGTCGTGTAGCTTGCTAGCAAGGCAGGATAGTGTTAGTGAAGTTCATGGGCTGGAAAAATGTATTTGAACTCCTTAGCAGTACAAATTAAAACATGTGTACTACAGTAGTGCAATACTCTGGAAATCTGGTTTTTCTTGATCGTGCCGTCATGTAGTTGTAGTCTGCTCTTGTTCTTCAGTCTCTGTCCCCTTTTCTCACCGTCCCTCAGTTTTTGGCTGGCTTGGGGAGTGCTTTTTTAGTGACAGGTGTGGTTCTTTGCTCAAGTAGGGCATCTGCTACGTCTGCATGCCAATCTCTTCTGGTTCTATGTTGTGTGTAGCCTGGTGGACTTTTATGATGCCGTGTATGTGTGTGTGTGTGTGTGTGTGTGTGTGTATGTGTTTGTATGTGGCTGTTCCTCTTTTACGTCTTGGTACTGTACTGCACGGGTTGAGAGGTTTTAATACTAGTAAGCACTTCTCTGCCCCCTGCTGTGTTTGAGGGCTGAGTACACTGAGTGTCTCTTTTTGACTTTGAGTGGTAGCCACTTGAGCTGTGTGCTGGGTGCTAGGTACCCTTCTTGCC